TGATGACGGTTTCGTCTCACCTTCTAGGAGACAAACCATTAAGAAACAAACCTAATTTTAAGCCTAACTTTAATGTAGAAACAACTAATAAATTCTCTAATCTTAAACAACAGGAAATAGCAGGAACTTCGAACGACAACACCACACCAAATGATCCCCCTCCCACTACTAACACGCCTAAAATTTATCTTCCCCCACCTATCATGCTAAAAACATCCGAAGAAGCTCGTGAAACACGCGAACATATGAAAGTTATAACCACCGCTTTCCCCAACATCCGTAGTAAGCTCTCCGGAGAGCTCATTAAATTATACACGAACACACATCTATAGAATATCATAAACTTCTTAACTTACTCGACCAACACCGTTATCAGTACCACGTTATCACTCCCAAGACGAACGACCCATTAAAGTCGTTATTAAAGGATTACCCGGCAACACAGATATCAATGACATAACATCAGATTTAATAGACCAAGGATTCACCGAAACTAAAGTATCCCAATTAATAGGAAGAATCACCAAACAAAAACTCCCCGTATTTATGATAACTCTCCCTAGAAACATACAAAATGCAAAAATCTTTCAACTTAAAACACTAGGATATCTCTCCATCAGAATCGAAGGATATGAAGGTACAGGAGTAACGCAATGTTACAAATGTAACCGATTCAATCATACTTCAGATAATTGTCGCATGAACCCAAGATGCCTAAAGTGCGGAGAAGCACATCAAACGAAAGAATGCCCTATTCAACGCACTGAGACAGCATATTGTATTAATTGCCAAGCATACGGCCACATGGCCAATTATTCTAAATGCCCACTATTCCCCAAGCCTCGTAAAGGAACGACAACCAGGAATAACTACTCGTCAGTTGTAGACAGTATCGTTAGACCGAACACAACCTACGCGCAAGTCACTAATAACAAGAAACCGGATCAACACAAAATCACACAACAGATGGCACCACGAGCAAAGAATCTCCTGCTATTTCCCCGCAAAATCAAACCAATCGTCTATTCACTAAACCCCCTACTACTCAAGAATTCAACTTAATCGAAAAAAGCCCACAGTTTGCAATAGTACAAACTCTGCAACAGACTATGCATACCCTCGCCATTTTAACTCAACAAATTGCTTCTCTTAACTTTAATGCTCTCGCCCCCCACCCAAAAAAACAAATCGATCTCTAAAAAGAAAAAGAATTAAGCGCCCTAATAGAGGCTTATCTCGACCAAGTTGACGATGATTAGTCACAAAACGATTGGTTTGAAACTTTGCTCTTGGAACGCAAACGGCATTCTTAACAAAATTTCTGAGTTTAAAATTTTCGTAGAGAAGTACTCTCCCGATCTTCTTCTAATTCAAGAAACTCACCTGAGACCACATCACACCATTAATATTCCAAACTACAACTGCTACCGAAACGATCGTATTGGTGACGGACGCAGGCGGCGGTACTTTAATTTTAACTAGAAAAATGTCTCGCATTACAATATCCCCACCCCCACCCTTAATCATATTGAAGCCACAGTGGTAGTTATTACCCCGCAAAATTTAAAATCCGATCTCTGTAATCTCTGTTTACGTACCCCCATCTCTGACGAAAGACTCTTCACTCTGGACTTAGAAAACCTGCTTCAGACCAACAGTAATTGTGTGATCTTTGGTGATTTTAACGCCACACACAATATGTGGAACTGCCCCAACAACTCTGTTCGTGGTCGTCAACTTAAAACTTTCGTCGATATTCTCGACCTAAACATTGCTTTTCCAGATACCCCTACTAGATATGGCTACAGATCTGCTAACACTATAGATCTCGCGATAATAAATAACTTTCATTTCCCCTACAATATTAATTCGTTAGCAGAACTTTCCTCGGATCATAACCCGTTATTCTAAATTTCTCCCTACTTCCCCTATTCATCATGACAACGCTAGGGCAGTTACCACCTGTTGGTCCGCCTATAAAAGTAATTTAAAAAAATAATATCAAATTCTAGACTTTAAAGGAATTAAAAAATCCCACTGTGCTCGAAGAAAAGATCGATTTTTCACCAATGCCGTTCGCTCCGCCCACCAATTCGCCTCTAAGCCAATAGTAAACACTAACCACGCCTTCCTCCTAACTTCATTCGAAATCTCATTCGCGACAAAAACAGAGCTAAGAAACTTTACCACAACACCTGAAATCCCACACACAAACAAAACTACTACAGATTACAGGAAAAACTTAAAAAGGAACTTAAAAAAGATCTCACAACAAAACTGGAATAACAAATTAGAATCTCTTAACACACGCGACAATAGCCTTTGGCGGTGTCAAAAGTTTCTCCCGTAATAAAAGGACTAACATTCCTTCCCTCTCTGGCTCTTCCGGGTCGCTAACAGCGACGAACAGAAGGCCAATATTCTTGCAATAACCCTAAAAGACAACTTTTCTGAAAATAAGAGACCTGGTGATAACAATCATCCTATAGACAACGAAATCACTAATACTTTAGAAAACTTTTTTGATAATCATCCTTCAATTCTATTTCGCCCACCGATCCTGATGAAATTCTAAATTATATTAAAACTCTTAAAAATAACAAAGCCCCGGTTCTGATCTTATAACTAACAAAATGATTAAAAAATTTTCCTCTCAAAATAATCTTAATTCTCACTTACCTTATTAATAAAATTTTGTTTCTTAGACATTTTCCAAACAATTGGAAAAATGCAATAGTTTTTCCCATTAGAAAACCTAACAAAAATGCTCATAACCCTGAAAGTTATCGTCCGATTTCATTGCTAAGCATTCTAAGTAAAATCACTGAATATGTTATTCTCAATAGACTAAAAACCTTCACTAACGATAGCAACTTCATTAATCCTAATCAATGCGGCTTCACCAGGAATCTGTCTACCTACCACCCACTACTCCATTAACTGAAAAAATCACTGCTGGATTTCAGAGAGGCAGATCCACCGGAGCTGTCTTTTTCTCGACATTCAGAAAGCTTTTGACAGGGTCTGGGTTAGTGGCCTCATCTATAAATTAATTAATAACAACTTCCCGCCTGCACTAATACATTTGATTAATTCCTACCTTGTTAACAGATCCTTCCAAGTTCGTGTTAATGACACACTTTCTAATTCCTTTAAAATAAATTACGGAGTCCCTCAAGGTAGCCTTCTCGGGCCACTCTTATTCAATATCTACATTAATGATATACCTACTCACCCTCTAACCTCCACTAATATTTATGCTGATGACACCGTCACCCTTGCAACTTTTAAAAATCATAATACAATCACACTAGCTCTTAATAATCACCTAAAACTTCTAGAAATCTTTTTTCGACACTTGGAAAATTAAAATTAACATTGATAAAACAATAGCAGTTCTTTTCACAAAAAGGAAAACAAAACCAACACCTCCTACTCTTTACTCCACACAACTCCAATGGTCTCAGAGTACAAAATACTTAGGATTAACTCTAGATAATAAACTCACTTGGAAACAACACATAATTCAAACGCGAGATAAATTCCGGAGCTCAAAGAGCCCTTTTCCCCCTAATTTGCCGGAATTCAGTATTAAATATGTACAATAAGTTACTTCTCTACACTGCCGTTCTGCGTCAATTCTGACTTACGGTTCACCTGTGTGGGGTTATGCAGCAGATTCTAATATTAAAACACTCGAGGTAGCTCAGAACTCGATTATAAGAAATATAGTAAGAGCAGATAGATATACCAGAAATTCTAAAATTTATGAAGATATTAAAAATTCCCCCTTTTAAAATCTATATTCAAAAGCTGGCTATTTCCTTCTTTAATAATTTACCTAATATTGATAACGATAATGTAAAAATGCTCAATAATTATATTCCTATGCCAGATCTTAAGAGACCTAGGGGAGAATCCTCCTAGACTCTACAATCCCCCTAACAGTGGAATTTAGTCACTTGCCGGGTGGCGAGTGACCACTATCCTAGCTAAATTCATATTTTTAATCTTTTAATTCCTAATTTTTTTTATCCTTTAAATTCATTTTAAGTTTACTCTTCTGCAACCCACACAGGCTATTTCTCTAGACCTCCTTTGATACATTCCAATACTTCAGTGCAGCCAATAGAGTGCCTACTCTCACAGTGCCATGAACCAACCACAGCAAAGCCTTTTAGACAACACATAGATTTTCCCGCCAAATCCGTATAGAAGAAAATCCTTGATCTCGTAACCACGCCCCTTTGCCACATTCGATCCACCAATAAGGACACTCTCTCTCAGGCAGGCCCAATCACACAAGGACTCTGAAACAAACTAGATATGGGATGGAGGAACACTTCGTGTTCCATTTCCCGGTGACATCCAGCGTCATCTAAGGCACCGACGAGATTCGAACTCGTGATCTCCTGTTTACTAGACAGGCGCTTTAACCAACTAAGCCACGGCGCCTGCGATCAATATGTATGTTTTAAGTCTGCTAATTATAAATAAACGAATTGCTCCAGAAATAATTCAAAGACGGTTTCTGAAATTTTCAAAATTTTCAGTCATAACTTATACTCTCCCTTCTAAGTTGTTTCGTATTCCGTATTGCATTAGAGACAATGTTTTTCTAAATTCAATGACATTAGTTAACGAACCATGACCGATTTGTATGAATACAAAGTTTAAAGTTCTTTACTAAGGCACCCACGAGATTCGAACTCGCGAATTTCTGCTTACTAGACAATTCCTTTAACCGACTAAGCCACGTCCTCGCGTCATACATGCACATGCTTTGTGTCTGCTAATCATAAATAAGGAGAATTGCACCTAAAATATATCAAATGAAGGAAAAAGAACTTTACTAAAAATACATTAAAAAACTGTCCTCGCCTTTCTAAGTTTTTCCGTATTAAACGACTAGCATTGGACAAAAAGATTTTTGTATAAAATGTCATGAGCAAATGAACAATTACTTATCCGTATCAATACAAAATTTAAAGTTCTTTACAAGGCACCGACGAATTCGAACTCGTGATCTCTGTTTACTAGACCCAGGCGCTTTAACCAACTAAGCCAAGGCGCCTGCGAACTACATATATGTTAGGAATCTGCTAATCATAAATAAAGAGAATTGCTCCGAAAATAAATCAAAAAGATGGTGGCTGAACTTTTCTCAAAACTATACCCCTCCCTCCTAAGTTATTTCGTAGTGCAAAGCCTAGCATTAGAAATAATGTTTTTCTAAATACAATGACATGAGTGAACGAACCAAAACTGATTTGTAACGATACAAAATTTAAAGCTATTTAAGAAGGCACCGACGAGATTCGAACTCGTGATCTTCTGTTTACTAGACAGGCGCTTTAACCAACTAAGCCACGGCGCCAATTAACTTTGTTCATGTTTTTGCGTCAGATAATCTGAAATAAAGAGAATTGCTCGGAAAATATAATTCAAAAGAAATATTCCGAATTTTTCTCAAAAATTGCTTAGAAAAACTATCTTCTCCTTTCTAAGTTGTATCGTATTGCACGATAAGTATTGGAAAAGTGTTCTTTTGAATACAATGGTATTTGCAAACGAAACACCACTAATTTGTGTCAATACTAAAAATTAAAGCTCTTTAAGGAAAGGATGAGATTCAAACTCATGATTTCCGCAATATGACACGCGTCTTAACCAACTAAGACAAGGCTTGATAAAGTGTCCCTCTCTCTTCTAAATTTTTTCGTACTGCAAGCTTAGCATTCGAAACAAAGTTTTTTTAAATTCAAAGGCATTAGTTAACGAATCACGACAGATTTCTATCAATACAAAATTTAACGTTCTTTACTAAGGCACCCTTGAGATTCGAACTCGTGATCTCCTGTTTACTAGACAGGCGCTTTAACCAACTAAGCCACGGCGCCTGCGATCAACATGTATGTTTTGAGTCTGCTAATTATAAAATAAAACGAATTGCTCCAGAAATAATTCAAAAGACGGTTTCTGAATTTTTCAAAATTTGCAGTGATAAACTAAACTCTCCCTTCTAAGTTGTTTCGTATTCTACGCTTAGCATTAGGAACAATGTTTTTCTAAATTCAATGACATTAGTTAACGAACCACGACGATTTGTATGAATACAAAGTTTAAAGTTCTTTACTAAGGCACCGACGATATTCGAACTTGCGCTGTTTACTAGAGCATCTCTTTGTTCTTTACTAAGCCACGGTGCCTGCGAACTACATATATGTAAATCTGCTAATCATAAATAAAAAAAGCCGAAAATAATTCAAAAGATGGTTGCTGAACTTTTCTCAAAACTATACCCACCCTTCTAAATTATTTCGTAGTGCAAGCGAAACTGTTTTTTTCTAAATACGCTAAATGACATATATGATTTGTAACAATACAAAATTTAAAGCTATTTAAGAAGGCACCGACGAGATTCGAACTCTCAGACGATCTCCTGTTTACTAGACAGGCACTTTAACCAACTAGCACGGCGCCTGCGAACTACATATATTAGAATCTGCTAATCATAAATAAAGAGAAATGCTGCGAAAATAAATCAAAAATGGTGGCTGAACTTTTCTCAAAACTATACCCTCCCTTCTAAGTTATTTCGTAGTGCAAGCCTAGCTTTAGAAATAATGTTTTTCTAAATACAATGACATGAGTGAAAGAACCACCACTGATTTGTAACAATACAAAATTTAAAGCTATTTAAGAAGGCACCGACGAGATTCGAACTCGTGATCTCCTGTTTACTAGACAGGCGCTTTAACCAACTAAGCCACGGCGCCAACGAACTTTGTTCATGTTTTGCGTCAGATAATCTGAAATAAAGAGAATTGCTCGGAAAATATAATTCAAAAGAAATATTCCGAATTTTTCTCAAAAATTGCTTAGAAAAACTATCTTCTCCTTACTAATTTGTATCGTATTGCACGATAAGTATTGGAAAAAGGGTTCTTTTGAATACAATGGTATTTGCAAACGAAACACCACTAATTTGTGTCATTACAAAAATTAAAGCTCTTTAAGAAAAGGATGAGATTCAAACTCATGATTTCCTGTGTACTTGACACGCGTCTTAACCAACTAAGACACGGCGCCTGCGATCAACATGCATGTTGTGAGTCTGCTAATTATAAATAAAAAGAATTGCTCCAAAAATAATTCAAAAGAGGGTTTTAGAACTTTTCTGAAAAATTGCATTGATAAAGTGTCCTCTCTCTTCTAAATTTTTTCGTACTGCAAGCTTAGCATTCGAAACAAAGTTTTTTTAAATTCAAAGGCATTAGTTAACGAATCACGACAGATTTCTATCAATACAAAATTTAACGTTCTTTACTAAGGCACCGACGAGATTCGAACTCGTGATCTCCTGTTTACTAGACAGGCGCTTTAACCAACTAAGCCACGGCGCCTGCGATCAACATGTATGTTTTGAGTCTGCTAATTATAAATAAAACGAATTGCTCCAGAAATAAATTCAAAAGACGGTTTCTGAATTTTTTTCAAATTTGCGATAAACTAAACTCTCCCTTCTAAGTTGTTTCGTATTCTACGCTTAGCATTAGGAACAATGTTTTCTAAATTCAATGACATTAGTTAACGAACCACGACCGATTTGTATGAATACAAAAGTTTAAAGTTCTTTACTAAGGCACCGACGATATTCGAACTAGCGAATTTCTGTTTACTAGAGCATCTCTTTAAGCTCTCTTTACTAAGCCACGGTGCCTGCGAACTACATATATGTTAGGAATCTGCTAATCATAAATAAAGAGAATTGCTCCGAAAATAAATCAAAAGATGGTGGCTGAACTTATCTCAAAACTATACCCTCCCTTCTAAGTTATTTCGTGAGTGCAAGCCTAGCATTAGAAATAATGTTTTTTCAAATACAATGACATGAGTGAAAGAACCACCACTGATTTGTAACAATACAAAAAATTTAAGGCTATTTAAGAAGGCACCGACGAGATTCGAACTCGTGATTCCTGTTTACTAGACAAGCGCTTTAACCAACTAAGCCACGGCGCCAACGAACTTTGTTCATGTTTTGCGTCAGATAATCTGAAATAAGGAGAATTGCTCGGAAAATATAATTCAAAATATTCGAATTTTCTCAAAAATTGCTTAGAAAAACTATCTTCTCTTACTAATTTGTATCGTATTGCACGATAAGTATTGGAAAAAGTGTTCTTTTGAATACAATGGTATTTCTGTAAACGAAACACCACTAATTGTGTCATTACTAAAATTAGCTCTTTAAGAAAAGGATGAGATTCAAACTCATGATTTCCTGTGTACTTGACACGCGTCTTAACCAACTAAGACACGGCGCCTGCGATCAACATGCATGTTGTGAGTCTGCTAATTATAAATAAAAAGAATTGCTCCAAAAATAATTCAAAAGAGGGTTTTAGAACTTTTCTGAAAAATTGCATTGATAAAGTGTCCTCTCTCTTCTAAATTTTTTCGTACTGCAAGCTTAGCATTCGAAACAAAGTTTTTTAAATTCAAAGGCATTAGTTAACGAATCACGACAGATTTCTATCAATACAAAATTTAACGTTCTTTACTAAGGCACCGACGAGATTCGAACTCGTGATCTCCTGTTTACTAAACAGGCGCTTCAACCAACTAAGCCACGGCGCTGCGCGATCATGTGTATGTTTTAAGTCTGCTAATTATAAATAAAACGAATTGCTCCAGAAATAATTCAAAAGACGGTTTCTGAAATTTTTCAAAATTTTCAGTCATAACTTATACTCTCCCTTCTAAGTTGTTTCGTATTCCGTATTGCATTAGGAACAATGTTTTTCTAAATTCAATGACATTAGTTAACGAACCATGACCGATTTGTATGAATACAAAGTTTAAAGTTCCTTTACTAAGGCACCCACGAGATTCGAACTGCGAATTTCTTAAGCATTAGACAATTCCTTTAACTCGACTAAGCCACGCCGTCCTCGCGTCATACATGCATGCTTTGTGTCTGCTAATCATAAATAAGGAGAATTGCACCTAAAATATATCAAATGAAGGAAAAAGAACTTAATAAAAATACATTAAAACTAACTTCTTTCTTCGTTTTTCCATACAAACGACTAGCATTGACAAAAGGTTTTTATATAAATATGTTACAGCAAAATGAACAATTACTTATCCGTATCAATACAAAATTTAAAGTTCTTTACCAAGGCACCGACGACAGACTAAACCCATCAGATCTCCCAGTTAATGTGAACAAAGCTTTAACCAACTAAAGCCACGGCGCTCGCGAACCATATATATGTTAGGAATCTGCTAATCATAAATAAAGAGAATTGCTCCGAAAATAAATCAAAAGATGGTGGCTGAACTTTTCTCAAAACTATACCCTCCCCTCCTAAGTTATTTCGTAGTGCTCTAGCATTAGAAATAATGTTTTTCTAAATACAATGACATGAGTGAACGAACCAAAACTGATTTGTAACGATACAAAATTTAAAGCTATCGGCTTCCGAAGGCACCGACGAGATTCGAACTCATGATCTTCTGTTTTTACTAGACAGGCGCTTTTAACCAACTAAGCCACGGCGCCAATTAACTTTGTTCATGTTTGCGTCAGATAATCTGAAATAAAGAGAATTGCTAGGAAAATATAATTTAAAAGAAATATTCCGAATTTTTCTCAAAATTGCTTAGAAAACTATCTTCTTCTCCTTTTCTAAGTTGTATCGTATTGCACGATAAGTATTAAAAAGTGTTCTTTGAATACAATGGTATTTGCAAACGAAACACCACCACTCTCTGTGTCAATACTAAAATTAAAGCTCTTTAAGGAAAGGATGAGATTCAAACTCATGATTTCCTGTGTACTTGACACGTGTTCTGTCCACCAAGAAGGCTTGATAAAGTGTCCTCTCTCTCTTCTAAATTTTTTCGTACTGCAAGCTTAGCATTCGAAACAAAAAGTTTTTTTTTTTTTTTTCGTACTGCAAGCTTAGCATTCGAAACAAAGTTTTTTTTAAATTCAAAGGCATTAGTTAACGAATCACGACAGATTTCTATCAATACAAAATTTAAAGTTTTTTACTAAGGCACCGACGAGATTCGATCTTGTGATCTCCTATTTACTAGACAGGCGCTTTAACCAACTACGCCACGGCGCCTGCGATCAACATGTATGTTGTGAGTCTGCTAATTATAAATAAAACGAATTGCTCCAGAAATAATTCAAAAGACGGTTTCTGAAATTATTTCAAAATTTGCAGTCATAAACTATACTCTCCTTTCTAAGTTGTTTCGTTTTCCACGCTTAGCATTAGGAACAATGTTTTTCTAAATTCAATGACATTAGTTAACGAACCACGACCGATTTGTATGAATACAAAGTTTAAAGTTCTTTACTAAGGCACCGACGAGATTCGAACTCGTGAATTTCTGTTTACTAGAGCATCCCTTTAACCAACTAAGCCACGGCGCCTGCGAACTACATATATGTTAGGAATCTGCTAATCATAAATAAAGAGAATTGCTCCGAAAATAAATCAAAAGATGATGGCTGAACTTTTCTCAAAACTATACCCTCCCTTCTAAGTTATTTCGTAGTGCAAGCCTAGCATTAGAAATAATGTTTTTCTAAATACAATGACATGAGTGAACGAACCACAACTGATTTGTAACAATACAAAATTTAAAGCTATTTAAGAAGGCACCGACGAGATTCGAACTCGTGATCTCCTGTTTACTAGACAGGCGCTTTAACCAACTAAGCCACGGCGCCAACGAACTTTGTTCATGTTTTGCGTCAGATAATCTGAAATAAAGAGAATTGCTCGGAAAATATAATTCAAAGAAAATATTCCGAATTTTTCTCAAAAATTGTTAGAAAAACTATCTTCTCCTTTCTAAGTTGTATGTATTGCAC